AACTTTCTCTGTAGACCAGGCTGGCCTCGAACTCACAGAGACCCACCTGCCTCTGCCTCTCAAGTGCTGGGATTAACGGCGTGTGCCAACCGGCACTCCTCCTTCTTCTTCTTTTTTTATAAACTATTTATTCGTGTGTGCATGCATATGCCAAGGCACATGTGTAGAGGTCAGAGGATAACTTGTGAGAGTTGGTTCTCATCCCCCATGTGGGTTCCAGGGATCAAATTCAGATCTTCAGTCTTGGCAGTAAGCACCTTTACCTGCTGAGCCACCTTGCTGGCCCCTTCCTGCTTTCCTTTTTATGAGCAAATAATATTCCATTGTCTATATGGGCCTCCTACATCCTAGGCAATTGCTTAGCTACACCCCTAGCCCTGGTTTATAGGTATTTGGCCTGCTTCTCTCTAACGCTAATTTTAAAGAGTCGTTGTGTGATGTGTTACATGGCACTAGTTGCAGAGAGCTTCATGAGTGTCTAGCTGTCCATATCACCACAGACCAAGTTGCAGAGCCCTCATGTCTCTTCTTGTTATATCCATGTCAGTAAAAAGTAACTCCAAGATTGCACCATGGAGATCTCTGGCATTACTGAGGGCGTGCACCTGTTCAAAGAACTTTCTTCTTTTTGTTTTTCAAGACAGGATTTCTCTGTGAAACAGTCCTGGCTGTCCTGGAACTTGCTCATTAGACCAGGCTGGCCTTGAACACACAGAGATTCACCTGCCTCTGCCTCCTGAATGCCACGATTAAAGGCGTGCACACTACTACCTGGCTTCAAGAACTTCTCTAGAAGTGAACCGCATGGCTATTCCTGTGCGCCTGACTCCTTTAACTCGACCCTCCCCCCCCCATTATCTATGTATTGTATTGGGTGGCTCTTTCTTGCTCTGTAGAACTGTATGTGAATATACTATTGTGTGTATTCCCTGAGTGGCCCTGTTATATATCTGCCCCACAGTGTTTACCACTGGTAGGCATGTTTTCATTTAAGTCGTGCACTATTAAACCTTGCTTGTGTGTTGGATGTGTGAGCTCAGTTCTACAGTTGTCGGGGGACACAGCTGCTGGCTACAGGGTGCCTATTTTAGTTTTAGCAGACAAGCCTGCAAGAGCAGCTTGTCCACTCTGTGCTTCTGCCTGCTGAAGCCAAGTTCTCTTAGCAGTCCCTCCCACCAGCTCTGAGAAACAGCTAGCTGACTCGACCCTTTCAGCATGGCCAGGCAGCACAGAGACCTGGTGACAACACAGCTCTCTAGACTGCCCTGGAAGGCCCTCTCCATCTTACCTGGCCCCCTGATCCTAACACAATTGGCCACTCTCTTAGTGGAGCTGTGACTCTGTCACCCATCCGTGCCATTGAGTCCTTTAGCACCTCCAAAGGGCTCCTCCCACCCAGCCCAGGCCTGAAATCATGTGAAATGTCACGTACTGGCATCCAGTGTGCTCGTGGCTGGCTATGGGGATGACGACACAATCCAGTGTTTGGGAGCATCCCTTTTGATCATGTCCCCCTAGTGAGGCCTGTCCTGCTCCATGGAAGCCAGGCTTCTGCTTCACCACAGCCTTGGCTGGGTAGCTGGCCTTTCCACTCACAGGACAGAGGAAACCCAAGAGAGGAAGGCATGTGTGGGGCAGCCAAGTACTCCAGTCTTAAGAGTCCGGCCTTGGGTGACTAGAGCTGTCAGGTGGCATATCAGGTTGTCTGGGTGGGTAGAGGGAAGGGGGCACAGGGGTATAGCATACATCAGGTTCACTCAGGGCTGTGGGGATATCCACTGATGGTCAACCATTGGGGAAAGGGTGCAAATCAGTTTTCTGACTGTGGTGTAAGTGTTTGTGTGGTGCAATATGGAGACTGAAGGCCAACATGTCTTCCTCAGTGATTCTCTACCTTAAAATTTTGAAGCTGGGTCTCTTACTGAATCTGGAAATTACTGGTTCAGCTAGGCTGACCGGCCTGCAAGCTCCATTGGTCTGTTTCCACTATCCCAAGTACTGGGATAAAGTGCTTGCATGTCACTGTGCCTGGCTCTGTATGTAGGTGCTGGTGGTCCAACTCAGGTCCACATGTCGTTTATGTGCCAAACATGTCACCTACTAAGATTCCCCTCACCACACTCTTTTCAGTTTCAACACAAGTTCTCACTACACAGCTTAGGCTGGCCCTGGATCTATGTAGCCTACACTAGCCTTCAATAACAGATCTTCCTGCTTCCGCTTTGAGCCATGGGATTACAGGTGTGTGACAACATGCTTGTCGATCATCTCTCGTCTCATTTCAGACAAATTTGCTTATTCCCAGGAGACACCCCTGGGAAGAAGCAATAGATGGCCAGGTGCTGGCCTACAGCCTACTAGGACCCTCTGGAGAGTGGCAGGGTCCTGGGTGTTTCAAATAGGATTTTACAGAGGGTAGTGACGTTGCCCTGGCAAAGTTAAGTGGTAGGGCTGGTTGTACCAATGGGTGAGAGTGGTACTAGTAGGCACTGGTCAGGGACTCTGTTTTTCAGACCTCACACTAAGTGGGATGGGCTGGTCCTGTGTGATGACTTAGGCCCCACGGTCAAGCACCCAGAGTGAGAAGCCAGTCTTCAGGTGTCCTGGCCCTGAATGGGACCTTTCCCCACTTCCCCCCTCCCATCTCCCCCCCCACTACACAGCAAGGCCAGCCTCTGATGAGTCACTTACAGTTTATTTTTGCCTGAAAGTATTTCACATCTCTTTGTACACAGCTACGTGACAGTATTTATTATTAACCATCAAGAAAAGCAACAGTGCAGGGGATGGGGTGGGATGTCTTCATTCTTTTTTTTTTTTTTAAATCTTTTTGAAAATTTTTTCCTTTTTTTTTCTTTTTTCTTTTTATTTCATTTATTTATTTTTCTGCTTCTGCTTCTGTCTGCACCAGGGTGCTATGAAGCACGGAACCGGGGTTGGAGTTGGGGAAGAAAGCAACAACAGAAATCAACAGAGAAACGAACACAAAACAGAACTCACTCCACACACACACAGGCACACGCACAAAAGAAAACCTGCCACGGAAAGTGAATTAAGACTGAGACTGAAACCCAAAGTCTCTGTTTTTTTTGTTTGTTTGTTTGTGTTTTTGTTTTTTTGTGTGTGGTTTTTTTTTCTTTTTTAAAAAAATGAGGGCATAGTTGGGGGGGGTAATAAAGTCTACCTGGCAAAGTATAAAACAACTAAAGCATGGTTTCCATCGAATAAGATTAAATAGATATAAAACAATTAACATCGACTGGTGGGTTTGGTTTGGAGGTGCCAGGGAGGGGAAATATTTGTGCTAAACAAACAGAAAAAGGGAAGAGAGGGGACCCCAAAAGAATTGTCAAAGGGCTGTTCTGTACAGTGAGGGCTTGGCAAGAAAAAGCCAACTGTTTGTAAAAAGAAATGATGTTGGTCTGCCTCAGGGCACGTGGATGAGGGGATGCCGCAGTGAACACATTAGTGGAGAGGAGATATGGACAGTCGGGTCGGGCTGGCTGGGTGACATAGCTCTTCTCTCCCAAGAGACCATGCAAAGAGGTGGGCATGGGGCATGCGTGAGGGAACCACAGGGTGGGGAGGCTACAGGTCGCAAGTCTCAGTAGGGGACAGGAACAGCTAAAGAGGGGTGGGGATGGCAGCAGGACCTCGGAGGACCAACTTTTCTATGGGGTATACAGGGAGGAAGGGTCAGGACCCTTCCAGATTTACAGAAGCAGCAGAGGGGAGGAGTGAGCTACAATATGGAGACACTGTCTCCTTCCTCCTCCCCCCCTGCTTAACCCCCACCCACAAGGAAGCTGGAAACAACTGGAAATAATACAGGGTAGCAGGTGGGCAGACTGACGGGGACAGCATTAGCATACAGAGTCCGTTAAGAAAAAAGCAATTAATTTTCCAAAGGTCTTTTTTGTTTGTTTGTTTTTCTCTGTTGTTTTGTTTGTTTGTTTCCTTTAAAAAACCAAAACCAAAACCACTAGCACTAACCCGACAGCTGACTGGTCCAGACAGTACTACACGCCAGGGGGCAGGCGGGGAGGGAGGGCTGGTCAAAGACTTCATAAATAAGAGCGGGTCCCAGACCCGCAATTTGTCAACATTTCTTAAATAGGTGCGTTATTTAAATCTTATGTACAACAAGAACCACTTTGCATAGCGATGGTGGGGACACAGGACGATGGGGTGACATGACTGGGTATTCTTGTCCCAATGGTAGGGGCGATATCTCGGCTCGGTGCACCTCCAGGAAGAAAAGGCATCCTCCTTCTGGCCCGAGTCGAGTCGATGGCATCAGGCTGGATGAATGCCCCCACACATGGCATCACACAACAAAGGCAAAGAAAATCCACACAGGGATCCCCACCCACCCCTCCCCTGCCCTCCCTACCCGCTGTTCCTCCTCTTGTTGCCA